GCGAAAGGGAGGCAATCCTTCCCCTTTATTTAACCAAGGGGTCGTCGCCGACGCTGCTGGGCTGGAACTGGATTCACTCGCTGGGTGTTCGGCTGCCGGAGTACCATGAAGCTGCGCTGCACGTGGTGAAGGACGTCCCGAGCCTCCTGACCGACTTCCAGTCCCTGTTCCAGCCAGGGGTGGGCACCTTTGCCGGCACGACGGTCGGCATCCACGTACCCGAGGGAGCCCGGCCTCGGTTCTTCAAGCCGCGTCCGCTGCCGTTCGCCCTGAAGGACGGGGTCACCCAGGAGCTGCAACGGCTGCAGCGAGAGGGTATCCTGGTGCCCGTCAAGTCTTCCGAGTGGGCTGCACCGATTGTTCCAGTCCTCAAGCGAGACGGCCGAGTCAGGATCTGCGGGGACTTCAAGGTCACCATAAACCCCGTCGCTACCGTCGAAAAGTACCCGCTGCCTCGGGTAGAAGATCTCTGGTCGGCTCTGTCTGGGGGACAGAAGTTCACCAAGCTCGACCTTCGAGATGCCTACCAGCAGCTGGTGCTCCAGGATGCCGCCCGGAAGTATGTCACCATTTCGACTACCATGGGACTCTTCCAGTACACGCGCCTTCCGTTCGGCGTGGCCTCAGCCCCAGCCATCTTCCAGAGGGAGATGGACAACCTCTTCAGGGGCATGAGGCACGTGGCGGTGTACTTGGACGACATCCTGGTTACCGGTACCGACGACGGGGACCACCTGCAGAACCTGCGCAAAGTCCTGACACTACTACGGGACGCCGGTCTCAAGCTGAGGCTGGACAAGTGCGTGTTCCTGACCCCCAGCGTGGAGTACCTGGGACACATCATCTCCCAGGCTGGCCTGGCCCCGGCACCCCGCAAGATTGAGGCCGTGCTCAAGGCGCCGAAGCCCAAGAGCAAGAAGGAGCTTCAGAGCTACCTCGGCCTCATCAACTTCTACAGGAGGTTCCTGCCCAACCTGTCGACGCATCTGGAGCCGCTGCATCGTGACGGTCAGCAGTGGGCCTGGAAGAAGGAGCAGGACTTGGCCTTCCAGCACAGCAAAGAGCTGGTCGTTAAGGCTCCAGTGCTGGTGCACTTCGACCCGGCCAAGCCTGTAATCCTCACCGTGGATGCGTCGCCGTACGGGGTAGGAGCCGTCCTGTCGCACCGGGGTCAGGATGGTCAGGAACACCCTGTGGCGTTTGCTTCTCGTCGGCTTCATGCGGCGGAGCAACGCTACAGCCAGCTCGACAAGGAAGGCTTGGCCCTCATCTTTGGGGTCCAACGCTTCCATCAGTACCTGTGGGGCCGGCAATTCGAGGCAGTCACGGACCACAAGCCGCTGCTGGGGCTGCTGGGACCTGACAAGGCAGTCCCAGTGCAAGCATCGCCTCGTGTGGTACGCTGGGCCTTGACGCTGGCAGCCTACAGGTACAAGCTGGTCTACCGCCCTGGGAAGGACTTGGGACCTGCCGACGCCCTGAGCCGCCTGCCCCTGCCGGAGGTGCCTGCTGTTGTTCCAGAGCCAGCTGACGTGTTCCTGCTGGAGCGGGCCTACCCGGGGGTGCTCACCAGGACTGCGGTGGCGCAGGCGACCAGCCGGGACCCGGTGCTGTCCCAGGTGGTCAAGGCGGTTGCCCGAGGGGAGGAGCTGCGTCACCAGGCATACAGCCACAAGACTGCCGAGCTGAGCTTGGAGCAAGGCTGCCTCCTGTGGGGTTCCAGGGTGGTGATTCCACAAAGTCTGCGGGCCAAGGTGCTGCAGCTGCTGCACGCGGGGCATCCTGGCATTGAAAAGACCAAAATGGTGGCACGGTCGCACGTTTGGTGGCCTGGCTTGGACCAGGACATCGTGCACCAGGTGCAAGGCTGCCAGGTCTGCCAGGAGAACCAGCGAGCCTCGCGCCACGTGGCGATCACCCCCTGGCCGTTCCCACAGAGGCCGTGGTCCCGCTTGCACGTGGACTATGCGGGACCCTTCAAGGGCCACTACTTCCTGGTGGTAGTGGACGCCTTCTCCAAGTGGGTGGAGGCACTGCCAGTCACCAGTCCATCGGCAAGCGCGACCATTGCGGCTCTGCGGCAGGTCTTCGCGGCGCAGGGATTGCCGGACATCATTGTGTCCGACAATGGTCCCGCTTTCGCTAGCGCCGAGTACCTCGACTGGCTGCAGAGGAATGGGATCCGCCGGATGCTGGTTCCGCCGTACCACCCCGCTTCCAATGATGCAGCTGAGCGGGTGGTCCAGACCCTCAAGAACAAGCTGAAGAGGAGCCAGCCCGGGGATTTCCGGACGCAGGTGGCCCGGGTACTGTTTCAGTACCGGACCACACCCCATGAGGTCACTGGCCGTGCCCCCTGCGAGCTTCTGCTGGGCCGGATGGTCAAGACCCCCCTGGACGTCTTGCATCCGGACCTCCGGTCCACGGCGCTCCTGAAGCAGCTGAAGCAGAAGCTGGCTGCTGACCGAGGGTGCCGTCCCGGGCCTTTGCCGGAGCCGGGAGCGTCGGTGTACGCCAGGAACTTCCGTCCTGGCCCACCCTGGTCTGCCGGACATGTGGTTTCACCAGCGAGTGCCTCATCGCTGCTCGTCCGCATGCCCGACGGGACCACCTGGCACCGGCACGCCGACCATGTCAGGCCTCGCCTCGGGACCTGGCTTCCACCCTCGGCCGTCGCTTCTGAGGACCAGCCTGCAGGGGGCCCAACAGCACCAGTCGTGGCCAGCGGAGCGCCACCCACCACGGAGGCAACAAGAGTCTCTAGTCCTGCAGCACCAGTTGGACCGGTGCCACTCACAAATCCGGTCCCTGCAGCTCTACCGGGTGGAGCGCGACCGGTTCAGGCAGCGCCTGGCGTTGCCACACCTGGCCCGTCGACACCTGTACCCAGGCGGAGTGCACGGCAGCGGAGGCCACCTGACCGCTACTCGCCGGGGTGACCTTCATCGTCGACAGGCCGGGACTTTGCACGACCAGACGCCGAGATGGTGTCGGCCGTGCGCATTGTGTTTAGTTTTGTTTTATAACAAACAAACTGGGGGGGAGGAGTGTGACAAGTTAGTGGCGCCCCCCTCCAGTCCGCCCGTCTGCAGCCGCCTGGCTCGGCGGGCAACATTGTTCATCGCAACAATAAACGCCGTTGAGCGTACGCCGCTCCGGCCAGACATCGTCCACCCTCACAACCAGGCTGCGTGTCGTCTCTTCTCGGCGGGTGCTTCGGCCCCCTTCGTCCACGTTCGAGAAAGATCGTGACAATGTGTTGTGATGGAACTCGCTGCTTCTGTTTTTACTGCTCAGACATCCCACAAGTGTACAGTGCTGTAGGCATTGCAAGCAATTTCGAAAAACCGCTTGCCACCGTTTTACTGTTTCTCGACGTGCCAGATTTTTGTAAAAAGTAAGCAAACGTAAAACAATGAATCGCAAGCGTCCCAGCTGGTGCCTCAGTCACGCAATCATGTTCGCATGCATGTGAGGCAAACTTCGGCAGGCTTGCTGCTGGGCATACTTCGTCGCGCGAGCGCAGACAACAGCTGTCCGATCGAAACCGAAACCATGCCCCTCAGTTACGTCCTTAACTTATCCCCAAAATTGTACACAAAATGTAACTTTCGAGCATGCGACAAAACCAGTCCAGTGGCGCGTGCTTGCCAGGCCGGCAAACAAGGTACAAGCTAAACACACAAAAAATAAAGAACCTGAGTGCATCGATGCAAGACATTGCGAGCCAGCCTCAAAACGTTCTTGGAGCGCTTTGTGCAACGACTGAACTCGAGACAAACACAAGCGCGCTATGCGGGTTCAGCATGCAGACATTGCCTTCTTTGCTTCAGCTCACTTCCCTTCACCAACTTTCTTTCACGGCAGATTTTTCACGTACCGAGGCCCCTCTTGAAAGAAGGCCCACCGAGAGGAATCTAGATAATCAATACTTTGACAGAGCAGTCTTTGAATTAAAGATGAATTTTTGTAATAACGTCTAATTTAAACAAGAACAGGAATGCTGATGAACATGCGGCGGTCCTTAAGTTACAGTTTAGAAAGTACCATATCTGCAGTGATGTGGGGACGGCAACATTCGACGTCGCGCAACCACGGTGACTGAAAGGCAGTGACCAAATATAGTTTTCCCACGGCCGTTGCTTCAGCTAACAAAGTAACTCCTGCCGTGCAAAAGCATGGTTTCGTTTCACAGCACGACGGCATGGCTGGTACCCGGCACGCTAGCGTCCGGGTGTCTGCACACATCCGCGTCTATCGCTGAAAATATATAAAAAAAGAGAGGGGACACGAGACCCACAAGACGAGAGCGCGAAACGCGAGACGCCGGAAAAATCATGCAAGACTGAGTGGACAATTGATGCACGGTACTTTGTGTCAGGCGGCGGCTTGTGCCACACAACACACGCTCTAGATTACAATACTCGGTTTAGTTTCGGTTTTGAAAGGCGACCTAAATTGGTCCTTTGGCGCAGGCTTGGCGGAAGTTGGCACAGATTACCCATATTTTGGCGAAATGTAGCAGGATGTAGCAGGGTTAGCCCCTTGGCGCAGTTTGGCGCAATTGGCGCAGCAATCACATCACTGAAATTGTTTTACGAAGCTAAGTTGGCTCATGGGATGTAATTTGGCCTGAAAAATTTATGTTTTGGTTATAGCGCGGTACCGCTTATAGTGCGAATTTTCGCGACTCCCGTGACATTTGTTATATGCAGTCTACACTGTATTTTGTATCAGGATACAAAATTATTAGTCTCTACCGTTCCACAAAACATACGAGTTACATATTTGTGGCGTGTTCCTTCCTTCAGAAGCACTTTGATAGAACCCGGCTGGAGCACCAAAGCTGGATTTAAGTCGTTTTTTGCAAGCATACACCTCATAAACTTGGATCCCAGATGAGCCTTATGGATGGTAACGTAACTTTGGTAACGTCTTCTCAGGACAGCAATCTGCTACCCGCCAAGGAGGGTCAAAAGCCCTGCGAGAAGCCGTCATACCTCAACGCATGGCATCCTGCCCGAAAAACTTGCCGCTGTGTAGCCGTAGGTCACGTTCGAGATCAGCTTCAGGCCAAGCTGGCGAGCATCCAGCACTTTCCTCAGCACCTGAAAACAAAACCGTGTGAACACAAAGACCCTTCTAAAGGACTCACAGCCCAAATGCAGGCAATATCACAAGTACACTTGGAGACAGTAGTTCAAACTTTTGAAAGCTCACCCTAACATTCACTTATTTCATTCTAGGTTTTACTTTATCACCCCATTCTTAAAAACTGCAAGTCATGAAAGCAAATGTGCGGTTGGATCAATTACCTTGTCGTCTTTGCACTCCTTCATGGACTGCTTCACCATCAACCGCGTGTTCAGGATTTCCTCCAGCATCCTGGTAAGTGCAAAGATAGAACGGTTCTTCGAGTGTCTAAAGACAAACACAAACATCCTCCATTTGCCTTTCGGATATCAATTTATACAAGAGATCAATTAAGCTAACATTCCAACTACCAGAGCACTCGGTCTAAGCAAGCCCAGGTGGAGATCAATCCAACTAGAGCTAGATTTAGATTACCAATTTCACCCCATCTGGATCCAGCTGGACCCAGCTGAGACCAGTTTCATAGTCCACCTCCAGCTCAAATGATTTGATTCCATACAACTGACATCATCAAAATGATTGGGTGATTACTGTATTTTCAAATGTATAAGTCAAAGATTTTTTTCAACAAATTTATGTCAATGCGCTTTACACAATGGTTTTGACTTGTCTGTATTTTTTCCTATCACGGTAAAAGTTCATATGAACGCCCTCCCCAGAGAGATCACCCATTCTGTTATTTTTTTGGGGGGGCTGAATACCCATAATATAAAAATTCTAAAACCGCTTACCCCCCAATTCCATTCGGATATCACGCAACGTCCAACCGAAATCACATCAACCACACAATCTTTGGTACCGGTACATCTGACAAGCGAGTATGTAGCAGATGGTTCCCGCATACAGTATTGATTGCACTGTCACACGATCTATGGTATGCATTTCCGTGACATGTGGGTTTGTTGTGGTTCAACCATTCCCGTTACACATAACTTTGTTGCGGTTTCCCGCATGTTTTGTGAAACACGAATCTGCTACGTCCGCAATATGCAGGTCCATTCCCGTGACTTATACAAACTTATACGTGCGAGTTTGTTGTGGGTTCCTGCGTTTTATGTCCGCGATCTGCGTGCACAATATCGGTTCCCGTGATACCCGAGTTTGTAGCAGGTCCCCACGTGCTTATTACAACGTAAAGCATGAATCTCCTGCATATGCGATCAGTGGTATCAGTTCCTGTGACACAAGTTTGTAGCAAATTTCCAAGTGTTTATCCCACCATTAAACACAAATTTCCCGTGTCTATGATATGCAGTATAAGCTCCCAATTCACGTGGTTTAAGCGGGTGCCCCAATGTTTATCACAAATGTGTTGTCAAATATCGTTGTCGCATTGCTTAAGATTGCCCATCTCATAATTTTCACTATTTATCTCTTCATTACGGGTGGGGACTCTTACGAGATTTTATGCTAAGTGCGGACCTTAACTGCAGCAATTCGCCATGAGGGTTATATTCCTTGTTTGATTTGTTGACGGGGATTTTGAAACTTACTTTCGCTTGCATGGATATTGCAATCATAGTAGACAAATGACAGGCTTTTCAGTGCGGTTTCGCTGCGCCGACCGTACAAATTAGGTGCGACTTACATACCAAGTTTTTCCTGGAAACGACAATTTACAGGAGGGTGTGGCTTAAGGGCTGTCCAAACAGGACACTTCAGAAATCGTGAGGCGACACAACTCCGACATATGAAGCAAAAGTTGAAGATGGGCAGTCCGTTTTCTGTTTGGACACCACCAGGCAAACATTGTACCTTTTCTCCTCGCCCCCGCCACCCCCCCCCTTTTCCCCCCCGCTTTGCAGAGATCTCGGTGCTTGTCAAACCTGATGTCACACACCACCTGCCAATGGTGTGCCTGCTGCCTGTCCATCTGTTCTGCCAAGCCCTCGTATCCTTCCCTTGCCCATTTTTGGGGCTTGAACAGCAGTGGAGGCCTTGAGCAATTGACCGACAGCCAACAGGGCGTGTGAGCGGCTCTCCGGACCCACGTGATGAGCATCTCCATCATATGTCGCATGACATATGACGGAGTTGTATCGCCTCAAGATTTCTGAAGTGTCCTGTTTGGACACTCCTTCCTATATAACAAAGGTGTGACCTATAGACCGGAAAATATGATAACTGACAAATTCACTGACAGGAGAAATGAATGTTCCCTAACAACACAACCAAAACAGACTTACTGAGGAAGCACGCCTCTGCGCACGGAGCTCTGAACAAAGGCCACTCCAGCAGGAGACACGCTGATGTACTCTCTAAGGATCTGAGTAAAGAAAATCAAGGGAGGAAGAAATTTCGAGAGATATGTGGCAACACTGTCAAGAGGAGGAACACCTAACTACCTATGAAATAAGCTGTTCGATAAAACTTGCATGGCACGATCAGAAATTTGTAGTACATGCTGCAGCAATAACATTAAACACTGCAAAATGTCAGGTGCATTCAGGCTTTCACTCTAGGCTTGTCCAGCACTGATATGAACAGCTCATCAGAGTATGAAACTGATTTCTCTTCAATGTGAAGATTACATGGCAAATCTTCAGTTGCTCATGTAAACAAAAGAAAACCGAAGTGTGTCAAGATCTGCTGGGACAAGTGCTGTAGCTACGGGGGGCACATTTTGAGCATTTTTCTCTGTACAAAATTTGACTTTTTATTTTTTTTTGTACCCAAAACAAAGGAACATTCTGAACACTTTTCTCGTAATAGAATGCAACTTTTTTTTTTTTTTTTTTTGTGCTTGAAACAAGGAAAATGCACCTTTGACAAAGCAGCCCTCTACACACCACCTTAAGCAAAAGAGAAACTAAATGTCCTTGAATTCCCCAGCATCCACAGTTGAGTGTTGTCAGTAGATGTGCAATACAGTATAGACCACTTACAACGTCACCGCTTATAGTGCAGGACCGGGTATAACGCGGTTTTTTTAAACCACCGGTTCGTCTCCCATAGAACTCCATGTAATTACATACCGCTTAAAATGCAGGCGCGCGAAGGCAAATACCGGTTATAGTGCGGTTTCTGGCACAGCCCGCCGGCCGCGCCGACGACCGGAGCAGCGAGCGCGCTTCCCTGTGCGACACTAAATAACGGCGCTGACGGCGCGAGCCGCAAGCGTTGCGCAAGCGGCACTCGCGGGGCAAGGAGGGTGCTCGAACAAGCGGGAGAAGCGAAGAGAGAGGCTTCAGTTGCCCTAGCGACGGAGGGACGCACGCACGTGTCGTTCACATGCGTGCATCCCTCCGCGGCGTTGGAAACAAACAACCGCAGCGACAGACCAATCGCAGGTCGAGGAGAAGTGTTGCGCGCGCTACATGCCGGTCGCGGGCCGGCTGCTTCTATCCGCAAACACGGCGTCGGTTGTGATCGTCGTCGTAGACGGCGTTCATCTCATCGTTCCGCGTAAAAGCGCTATCCTTGACTGTGAATTTTCGTTGTGTGTCGCTATGATAACCCAGCACGTACTAGACGGGAAGATCCACCTACTCGTGCGGCGATGTCAAGGCGGCGCTCTCAAGACGGCAGAAACGCCCGTGTCGTCGTGTTTGCTTACTTCGACTACAGTGGTGATTACTAAGCATTTGTGTCCTCGAACATCGCCCGGATTTCTTATTTGGCACATTTCATGCGTGCGCTCAAGTTCAAGGTATTACTGGCGTGTACCGTGTGAAGGATGCGAATTTTCACGCGTTTTCATCTCCGGAGAAAAGTGATTAGGGTTAGCAATCCTGAACGCTCTCAACGTCCGTCCGCAACCCGCGACGCCGTTAAAAGGCTGCGCCAGGCAAAAGCTGCTCATTTCTTTCAAAATGTGTAACACACTTGAGAGTGAACTGTACTTGTCAGGTGAAATAAAGACTTTCCTCAAACTAAGCTTTATTTTTCATCTAACATAAAATAAATTCTTTTCACAAGTGTAAGTTGTCTCATGGCATGTATTTTGGCCTGAAAAATTGATGTTTTGGTTATAGTGCGGTACCGCTTATAGTGCGGATTTTCGCGACTCCCGCGACATACGTTATATGCGGTCTACACTGTAGCAAGGTCCTTCATTCGATGGCAATATCTTGCCGTTCCCCATTTCTCTAGACCTAAACATGACTTTTTTGGTTAAGTTAATATTTTCTAGCTATTTTTTAACACCCTTTTCTTTGAGCTACTATGGGCAAGCTTTGAGATTATGTAGATTCCATTCCAAATGCCGTGGATCATGAACCACTGACACAGACACTGTATCCATCTAATAGACACCGTACCACCAAATGCATTTACAGAAACCAATTTTGTGAGACAATAAGCTTTCGAGCTAACTGACATTCTGAGATTTTCAACTTTGAGTTTAACGAGAAATTGTTGAACCAGCTTTGGTGCCATTTGTCTTCCTAAAAACATGCATGTGCCACACAGGTGCTGCATCACACAGTGGATCTCCTTTCAATTTAAGATGTTCGATTTTTTGGAGTCAACCTGCACAACAAGCTATCTGATATGGCCCACAAAACTTGTTACACTAAAGAAATTTTCAATATGCAAAATCTTTATCAATTAAATTAATTTCTCCTTCGTCTCATCGCAACAATTCCAAGGGACACCACAAAGAAATCATTATCAATAAGGTGTCGATGGTATTTCTAGGCCACCGAGCAGGGTCGCTTTGCCTTAGTGGATACGTGCTACAAGATAAACTTGCTAAACATAGCTAAAACAGTTAATGGATTATGAGATTTAGAAAAACATCCTCAAGTCTCTAAGACCACCAATGAGTTCATAGGGCTAATAAAGTACACTGACGTTCAAATAAATATCCATGAGTTTTACATGTTTGCCTTTGTCCCTTATTGGTTATATAACAGAGGTTCTCAAACTGGGTTCCGCAAGCTGGTCTCATGGGTTCCGTGAGCACCCAAATTGCAGCGCTCCTCCTCCCCTCCCCTCCTCCTCCTCCTCCTCCTCCTCCTCCTCCTCCTCCTCCTCCTCCTCCCCCTCCTCCTCTCCTCCCCCCCCCCCCCACCATAGTTTAACCTTCCACGGACTGTGCCACGGATTGAGTTGGTGTTGTGGGCAAACCAACCTCACTCTTTGCACCAATATGTATATATATTGTACATTTTGTTCGTGCAATAAACTCTTGTTCACTATCTAAATGCCTTTATTGCCTAGTATTATCGGTCGGTAACCAGAGAGGAGGGAGGGAGGGAGGGAGGGAGGGAGGAAAGGGGGTTTCTTGGGACTTTTTGAGGCTTGCTGGGGTTCCCTGAGACGAAAAAGTTTGAGAACCCCTAGGTCACATGTTCTGAAGAGTGGCTCGAAGTCGATGCACGGTGAGGGCTGGGAGCATGCTGTGAAAGCCTTGAAAGGCATGCATGCTGCACACCAGCTGATGCCGTGGGAGGAGTTTCTAAAACAAAGAACTTGTGTGTATAGCCCTCCCTGGGATCTGCTTCAACAGTACGAATGCCTGGTCTTCACCTGCTATGGTGACCCAAGACAACCGTGACAGTCCGTAAAAACACACGGATAAACAGAAGCATGTGTACACACTCTTGACTATGGCACTGGAGACCGATTAGCGCATGATTCCTACTATATAAACCCTACAAATAAATTCAAAATTTGCACCACAGCATTTAGGCCAAAGAAGAAACACTTGACCAAGTGTAAGTGGTGTACAAAGAGGACCTACATTGAGAAGTGTCACTGGAACAGTCAGAGATGAGCAGCCAAACACGAATGGTTCCCCGCTGAAAAAAAGACGCACAAGCAGGTCAGAAAAGTAGGAAACGTCACAGGGACTCTCGTGCTTTGACGTTAAAGTCCAAACTAGCAGCCACCGTTTCGCTGTCCAGTTTGGATCATACTATTTGTGCTTCTTAGAGAGAGGAAGGGGTTCTGTTTTTTGTAGCAGTGAAAGCTATGAACCATAGAGTTTACATAGAAGGGGGAAGTCGAGGTGTAGTTGAAGCTATTACACCCTTTACCGCTCCACATCTTGCAGCCACGTGATACGGTGATGAAATAGGATGAAATGAAAACAAGCTTCCCAGTGACAACCTCCAGGAGTTTAGTGTCCTTAAGGTGTCAACATTTATCGAAGCAACACTCATTTGTAAGTTTTATTATGGGACAGATTTTGCCCATGCCAAGGGTGCCAATGCAAAATCCACGCAAAGAAATATTAGTTGATACTACAAGCACATTCTTTTAAATCTAGCAAACGTTTACACCCAAATAATAGTTTTTATTTATTATATTTTCAATAGAAAACATTGCAAATTAATCTCGGAATGTGAAAGAATTGGGAATCTAACAAAAATAAACTCCTATAAACTCCAAATTTTCAGGAAAAAATAAACTCTAAAAACACCCTAAAATTTGGATGAAAACCTCGAAACTCTACCCATAACATGCCATCAACGTACGACACACACAAACGCATGCAGCTGGTTGGCGGTGCAGGAGTTCAGCAGCTGGCAAATTGGGCCAGATCTGCTAACATCCATTTTCTTTTAGACCAAAGCATGTGACGAACGCTCGAGAAATCCGAGTTAGATTTGATAAGAATGCAATTTCTGCATTAAAAATTGGCGAACGATACAAATCTGCAACCATCTGCAGCAAAAAAAAAAAAATACAGCAAGTGTGACAGATCGCACGCTTGCCTTGCCGTGCGTATGTGTGCAGGTGACCAAGGGGAGTGCTTTCTGAGCACTAGAGGCAGTCTTTACATCAACTGAATTTTAAAAAATTAGAAAAAAAAAGTTGAAGAAAAAGATTAGAAAGCATATAAATAGAGAACTTACTCCCTACTTATACATAGTGAAAGTTCAAACAAGAAAAAAACAAAACAGTCAACTGTTATTTCATTGTTTTTTTTCTCGCATAAACTCTGCTGGATAGAGTTGGCATATTAAATACATTTTCTCAAAAATGTGTGCGTTCTCACGGTATGTCTTGTGTAGAGCTCATTCATTCTTTACCCGAATATTCGCATACAGTCAGACCCGTTTATATCGAACTCGCAAAAAAAATGTCTACCAGTTCGATATAGCAGGCAATTCAAAATAAAAGTTTTAATGCATTTGACTCTCAAAAATCTGCTTCCTGCTGACATATTACACAATGAAATAGTCTTGCATCTTCTGCTGCTTTTTCTTCTATGCATTCGCGATAATGATATTTTTCTACGCTATCGACGGACTCCAAAATGCTGAGGCCACTGCCTTCTATATTCGCGCATTATCGCCGAACTATGCCGAGAGCACGGAGCACGTCCAAGCAGGAGCACCTTCTTCTGCAGAGCACCGTTTTGCTCTGCAAGTTGGCTTTCCCCTAAAAGAGGCGGCTGCATTGGGGTAAAGCCAGCTAGCAGAGCAAACTGGCTTTTTTTTTTTCCTGGCGGCCGCATCAACCGACAGGAATTAAAAATAATAATCTCTCTTGCGGACAGAGCAGAGAGAGGAAGCAAGGAGCACCCTCTCCTCTCTCCCTCCAGAAAAGATTTTTTTTTTTTTTCTTCCAGGCAATCAATGCGGCTGCCTGGAAAAAAAAAAGAAAAAGCCAGCATGCTTTACAAGCTGGCTTTCCCTTAATAAAGCCACTCTAAGTGGGGGAAAGCCAGCTTGCAGAGCAAAACGGTGCTCTTAGCAGTTAGATATATCGGTAGCGGCTGCTATTTTTGCTCGATGTAACCATAGTTTTTCCTATATATTATCACTGTGACATTACAGTGCAAAACAATTTTTCGATATGAGAGATAATTCGATGTAAACGGGTTTGATATAGTCAGGTTTGACTGTACTACCGAAAAGGGCTCAAATCGATGGTGAATCGAATGATGCAAAAGAAAAGGTAACACAATACAGCCCCCTAAAAAGGTGAAGGAAGGTGCTAGGGCCTTCGAGGCACCATAAACTTCTTCCAACCGTCAACCAAATGTGACGAGCCTTCAAGTCCAATGCGTGCCGTGCTGTCTGCCAGCAGAAAAGGCGCCATGAGCCCGACCCACCTGCCAAAGTGGTCCAGCCGCCCCAGGCAGGTGGAGAAGCAGTAGTTGTGGGCGATCATGACGGACGGGTAGAGGGACTGGAAGTCCAGCACGGCCACGGGGCTGGTGTACAGGTGAGACTGGGGCTCCATGACCAGCGGGATGAACTCCATGGCCCGCATGCGCGCTCGCTGCTGCACCGACGGGCTCAGGGCCACCAGGCCCCGCTGCCGAGCCAGCCGCAGCATCATCGACTCCACCCGGAACTGGAGAAGGGGCCATGACAACATGGGGGTGGGGTTGTGGTTGGGCACATGGCTCTTCGAGGTAAAAAGATTTTTTAGAAAATACACACAATGCTGAAATTGGACGATTCTTTAACCCTTTGAGTGCCACGCCTGGGTATACTTGAGCATGTTCTTAAAGGGGGCACTGGCACCCCAAGAGTTGTATTTTTTTTTATTGTCTAATACGATGCAACTTGTAGTCATAGACACGCAAAAAAAGTTTTTGTGCGCACGCGCGCCTTTTTATTTTTTTGTTTTCCTCTCTTGCTCCTTGCCTCTTTTGATATGTGACATCAAAAATCATGAAATTTAGAAGTTTTGTAGGCGAAATTTCTATAACAATTAATAATGGCAATCGTAAAACATTTTTTATTGCAATTGCGAACGCACTACTACCCTTCTTTTTGAAGTACCAAAAATCGGAGTCCGGTGTGATGTCGCCTTCTGGCATTGTATCCTCCCTCGGAAAACATGACGCCTGGGCAGGCGGCACCGCTCGCACGGAATAAAACCGTTTTTTCTCAGTCCGCCGGCGCCCTTATCTCCCGCTCCTTTCCTCCTCGCATCGGGCCGTGGTGGCAACAGCACGGAGTCGAGAAAGAAAGTCGACTCTCAGGACTCCGCAATATTTGACATCGACGCACCGGTGCAGATTGTGCGGGAACTTCACATTCGGCATTTGGAAATTGTTTTTTTACTTCACAAATACTGAATACCCAAGTTTCGAATTTTGAGGGTAATGTCCCGGCATCGTTTTCAATTATTTCGGATAATAAAACAAAATATGATTTTGATGTGTCAGTGCCCCTTTAATAAGTGCTTTCAGTTTTGGTTTGCTCCCTGCTCCTCCCAACTGGAGTGTTATTATTTTTGTATCTGTAGCGTATGAGAGTAATGTTCTGTCTTGTAATGTCACTTTTCAATAGCGTGGAATTTGTTTTTGCTCAGGCGGCTTCTGTTTCAGTTTGCTCCTTCGTTGTTACGGAATGGCAAACGTATGTCGATCAACCTCATGCTTCATGGCGAGCACAAAGATCTAGAAATTTCAAACGAACGCAGTATACGATAGCTTTCAAAACAAGGAAATTACAGTCCCAAATAAACAAAGGTCGAGTAAGGTCGATTAAAAGAGTGGCCTCGGGGTGTGAGCTTGAGGTGCCACTGCATAGTACCCCGTGTCGAAAAGAACAATATGAGAAATACAGTATTTTCTCGTGTATAACCCGCGGAAAAATTTATTTAAAATCAAAGGCAAAGTGGGAGTGTGGATTACACGCAAATTTTGGAAGGCAACAAGGCCTCACGGTTATGCGTGCAAAGTCGAAGGGATAGATTCTCCACAGTCCCTCTCGTCTGGTCTCTCCTAAGGACTTCCTTTTTCCCACCTTCTCCTCCTTTTTATGGAGAAGCTGTTATGGGCTAGGGACCGGGGAAAAATCCGTCCTCCCACGTCAACAGAAAACTCCCCATTGGTCGTGGCAAGTATGAATAAATAAAAATAAAAAGAGGGGGCAACCGGCGTGAGCGTGGCATTATTAGATAGTGAGGTCCTGATCCCTTGTTATCATCTCTAAGCATCGTCCTCGAGATTATCCAAGAAGTCGTCCTTGAGATCATCCAAGAGGTCGTCCTAGGAGTCATCCTTGAGGCCGTCCTAGACACCGTCCTCGAAGTCGTTTTAGAAGTTTCCCTCGAGGTCGTCCTAGAAGTCGACCTTGAGGTCGTCCTCGACGTCGTCCTCTAGGAGTCATACTCAAGGTTCACGGGAAGATGGAAGACCAGTGAAGCTGGACCTCCATCTTCACGTTGTGGTCAGTTTGCCTTACTGCATACCCGACCCAGAGGAATCACACGGAGCCAGCGGTTTCAAGAACAAGAAACTACATTTAATGGGACATGGACAAGATGATGAAGAATAATAACAGAAAACCAATGAGCACCGGTGGAACTTGAGTGCAGTTAGCGACTGCTGCACGCAGCCTCTAATACACCTTATCAAGGCAGCGCGCACGACATGCACGTCGTCGGCTTGATTCCGCTGCCAAGCAGGAGAGTTCGCCACCTGTGCCCCGCAGTCGGGCAGCTGGGCTGGGGAGCCGCCGGGGTGCCCACAATGTGAAGTGGATGGGCTCCACAATTTGTTTTTCAGGTAGCCATCTTTGCATTGTTCTCGCGGACTGAGCAGCTGAGCCAAGCTGTCCGCACGTTGCTGTCGAACGTGCATTGCCGTCGACGGCAATGATTTTCGCGGTTTCTTATCTTTTCAGCAAAGGAACCGACTATCATCGGATCTGTTGCCGAAGCAGCGAACTAAGATCATTGCGCGGTTCGAAGACTAGTGCATACCACGAGCTTGAAAAAGCCCTCGCAAAGTTCGTCAAGGGGAGAAGACGTTGCAGACATGCCGTACCAACACAGATCCGACGTGACCACAACCTTTCCAGACAAGCTGGTGAGAAACAGTTTCAAAAAGAAAGCGACTTAATCTCCGAAAGAAATGCGGCCAGCCAAGATGGCAGGCAGCCAGCAAAGACGGCAGGCGGCAACGACGCTGCAGGAACCTCACCTGCGACCCCCGACTGAGGACCTCAAAGAACTGGATGCCGAAGATGCGGGCCATCTCGCTCGTCTTGCCCACCACATCCAGCCGGTCCAGCAGCTCCAGGTTGCCCCTGGCTCGGATCACGTAATGCTCCACCGTGCGCCACCTACCCAGAAAGCCCAGAGTAACTGCCCCATTGCTCCGACAGGAACGAATCGCGCAGGCTGGAACTAGAGCCACTCAATACACCATGCTTAGAGTACCGGCACTCTGTTTCCCAAGATCTTCTGGGTGCCACAGAGCTTAGTGCTTAGTGCAACTGGTGACGATTAAAAATGTGACTTTTTGAGCCTTCTCGACGCCGTACCCGTGGCTTGTTTTTCTGTGTCGCAGACTGATTTACTAAGGACAGAAAGGCGCCTCATGCTATTTCAGAGAAAGGTTCAGGTAGCTGGCAACCACGATTTTAAGATGGCTGAAGCCTAACTTATTTAGCGGCACTAGATCACAATTATGTGTCGCTCACAATTATGTGAGCGAAGTAAGTAATGTACAGCAAACTTTCGTTAGTTCGACCTCGGTTAATTCAACTTTTCGTTTAATTCGATCGTGTTCAAAAGTCCCGGCGAGCGCCCATACATTTCTATGGAAGGAAAAGTTTGATAGTTCGAACTCGGGAAGACTCCGCATTGGATAATTTGTCCCGAGTGAATGCACGCGGACTCACATTGCATGGCACCACGGCAAAAAAACCACCAACGTACAACGCAACAGGGACCTTCTGCTGGAAAGCTGAACGTGCGCAAATATGCGCCTGCTCCTCTACGCCGTTGAGATGGACCGTAGCGAATGACACGAGCCAGTGCAACCAATCTGGTGTGGAGTAGCACGGAGAAGATAGCACGTGGTCGGGCGCGGAGACAGCGCGAGCTCTCAAAGCGCAGCATTGTGTGCAGTCCATATTGCGCGACGGAAAACGCAAGTTCTCTTTTCCTTTTCGTTTTTGTTATTTTTTTTTGTTGTTGTTGACGGTTTGGCCGCTTGGCGCTGAAGTCGGCTCATGAAGCTTACTCAGCGCGCACTCTCAAAGCGCTTTTCTGTAGCACCGTGTGCGGTTCATCTTGTGCGTCGGAAAGCGCGGGTTCTCTTTTCCTTTTTGCTTTGTAGTTATTTTTCTCTCTCGCCAACGGTCTGGCTGCCCAGCGCCAAAATCAACTCGTAAAACTTGCTTCTTCTTTTCTTTTTTTTTTTGTAGTGCGCTATTTTGTGGGGACGTGACGTTTAGTTACGCTGCTCTCCGGAGCATGCTTTTGGACACGCGTTTTAAGGACAGATGGGAGCAGACCATCCGTGAGTACTTTGGACATTAAAAGAAAATTCAATTTTAACCACTTTTCTGTCCTTTTTTTAATTTGATCATTTGGATAATTTGAACAAATTCCAAGGTCCCGTCGAGGTCGAATTAACGAAAGTTTACTGTATCTTGGGAAGAACTTCCTCGCTCGTTGCTAAGTCGACCGGAAACGAAGTGCCACACCTGAACAAGTCGGTGTCATGAGCAAACCACTCCGTCAGCACCTTGAAGGAGTAAAGGGGCACCCGTCTGTGCACCACATGGTAGTAGACATTCTCGAAGGTGTAGATGTTCAGCGTCACCTGCAAGACACAAGAAAAGTGAAACAAGTTTACACATTCTAGAGCTCACTACACACAACTTGTGCAAGCAACTTTATGCAGTTGGAGAAATATGACCACAGAGAGAGAGATAAGGCTCAGCAAACAGCCCCATTCACCCTATTTTCTTGCAATATGAAGAGAAAAAAGACAAAGTACCCACATTGCAAGTAGTAGTTTGTCTCTTATTTGCATTCATTAAAGCCTAGCCAGCAATCTGGGCTGATCAGTGCCACCGACGTCTACCTCTGTGCTCCGCCATTACAAGACAGCCGAAATGCGTGAGAGGGTAGCGGACCTTTTCTTTCACCGAACGATAAACTGACGCTGTGAGCCACTGGAACCAATCCAACATCGCGCGTGTGTCACGTAGTCTTCGAGGAGGGCCGCCGCAGTGCGCGAAGAAGGTTTACAGCACCGGATTGGCCGGTGTGGCTTGTAGCATTTGTTGCGGTCCGTCACGAGATGGAACGGAGCAGAGGTTCAATCTATAAACTCTACGATTGACATTGCCCAATTTATTACTCTACGATTGACATTGCCCAATTTATTATGGCAAATCCCATAAAGAAATCCCTGCACTATTGCAGATAGGGCTGTTGTAACAGACTGTCGCATGCTATTGCTTCGAGGCGATATTGCACAGATGAACTTGATACGGATTTCATGCCTCGATGGTGCGAACGTAGCTGCGCATAGTGTCTCCGAAAGAAAGCCCTGCCAAAGCTGGTGCCCCCACGGGAGCAGAACATAAAGTTTGCGTCCCTTGCCGTTGCGCACCCGAGCTTTGACCCCACTATTTGCGTCTCCCCGCTTCTTTTGAAACGCTTGCTCGCTCACTTTCGCCTTGCCTCCCGCACACCCTCCCGCTATACGTGAGAGTCCGGTTCCCCGACACTTCCAGCATAGCAAGGCCATAGTGTTGAATTTCCTGCATCGACCACAAGAGGCCACCTTGGGTCGCAGGCTCGAGTGCTCCAGCAGAGTTCAGCCAAGACTCGTGTGCAATCAGTGAGGGCACCAGTCTTAGCCAAACACTGATGCACCGAAGATAGCTGGCCATGTTGGTTGAACCTCGATTTAATGTACAAACTCGTTTTCCGAGCCGAAAGCTTCATTAAATCGCAAAATTTCTTTAGACCGAGGTTTCTTTTTATTAGCATTGCAATTAATCTCCCGGGTCTCCGAAACCCTACAATTGCCTTGTGTCTGGCAAGTAAGCAGTTACCAATACGATTCCATTACAAACTGCAGCGAGAATGAAGGTCCACGACCCTCATTTTATACCTTTATGGGAGCAGCGCCTAGCACTGAGGAAAGCGTGCAACCAAGGGGAACAAAAGTGTGGAACCACCAGATTGGGGGCCACGCCTAGTTCTCGTAGGCGTGACGCGGGCCAATCCTAGGAGCACAAGGATCGACATGGGCCGTGCCTAGTGCCTGCGCCTAGTGCTCGACCAAACTTTCTTTCTGAACAGTGCACCACTCATCGTTCCAAGTAAAGCGCAACCACTTTGAGCACTACACTTGAGGCACGAAAAAATTTTTGATGTCGCAGACCCGGTACACTTGTAAGAGCTTTGTTCGCCGGTCGTAGGCTCTCATTCGTTAACCAATATTAAAGCAGACTATTTTTTTTTTTAGAAAGTTTTTTTTGTTATTGTTATTATCATCACTGGTGTGTACTTTTTACTTTGTAAAAAGTAGTTTACTTTGTAAAAAGATAGCATGTTCAGTTTTTGGCAATATATTTGTTTCTGTTGAATATTTTGTTTCTATTTCTCACGGAGGCTGCCAATATGTGCAAATGCGATTTGCAAAAATGTTGTTAAATCGAAGCTGCAGCACAAAAGTACTTCGCTAAATTTAGAAAAAGATATGTAGTCTTCAATAAAAGCAAATTGCAAGCTGCGGATGCTGTGCGACGGCCGTCCCCAGCTTGCAATTCATAACTGTTATTGCGCGGGCAAATCGTGGACATGACAAACTCGGTATCCGTAGTGCAAAAACACACAAGAAAGCACTACAAATTCCCTCGTCGCACATACCGATACCACCAATCGCATGGTTGATGCGATTCCCATCGCAGCAAGACGCCCCACAGGAATCAAAGGGGTGGGCAACGTTTTCTCAATTTTAGCCGATGCGTATCTAGCCAGAACAATGTGACGGCCGATCTCTCGGGGGAAGGCGCTTGTACAAAACTTTACGATACACGCGCAAGCGGTTTTTGACGCACCTCCTTGCGCATAATCCTCCAGAGGTTGAGGACGATGCGGCCGGGCACGACGACGTCCCTGTCCAGCACGGCGTCTCCCTCGGGGTCCCCGGCCTCCCTGGGGTGTTCCTCAGGGCTCTTGGGCACCCGGGACAGCATGGAGGCCAGGTCGAGCCGCAGCTGGCTGCCCCGCTCCAACAGGTAGCCCCACGACGACTTCTGGATCTCGTAGCCCACCAGGATGTCTGGGTCCCACCTGTTTGCCGTGCGACGGCCGGAACGATGCTTCAGCCACTTTGCGGTCCAAAACTTTCCTAACCCTTTGACCATTGCCGCCGTACATGTACAGCGGCGGTTACACATTTGAAAGTGCACGCCTTAACAAGAAACTGCGCGTACCACGCAAAGTGCTGCTATTGGTTATGTCTTTGTCGAACTATAAACGTTATATTCGCTTGGTATTTCTATTTGCTGGGGCCATTTATAGTTTTGAAATTAGACGTTCCGCATACGTGATGTGCGACAGATGGCCGCTTCGCATGTCAGCTGCTCTGGCGGTATCGGCAATGGGAGTGATGGCTCTTCCTATTCAGACCTATAACACTTCTCAAAATTGAATTCAGAGGATGAGAAACTTACCATCAGATAGAGGGACTCTGTAAAGTACCTATGGTTCGAGGTATGAAACGAAACCGCCAGAATGTCGCGGAAGCAGATGCGCCAAAATGAAATTGAATGGAAGAAAGGTTACAACCTTTTGCATTCATCATTTCTCTTTGATGCTTCTAAACCTGACCAGCTTGTAAGTACTGTCTGTGCTCCCGTTAGACCCACTTCAGACGGAGCAATTTTTCTCAGCAACTTGACGTCACAACACCAGCAACATGGGCCACCCGCGTTCACAAACAGCAATCGATTGCAGCAATTTGCTGTCATCCTCATTAAATTTTATTTTTCTTGCACTATTTAGACACACACTTATGCACGGTAAACATGTTTTTATGCTTTTAAATGGTCTTCAGAATACTAACCCATCTCTGTGAAGTGGTCTATTTCCAAAAAATCATCAATTTCAAGTCAGAACCAAGTCTTTAGTTGTCATCATCACCGACACGGAATTTCACGTCGTCCCTGACTGGCTGCTGCCACTTCAAATGTCTTCAAATTGCTCCGAGTTGCTCGCTTGTTTCAAGCCGGACCAAACCTCAGCAATTCATGTCGATCTAGGGAAAGCTAGGGAACGACCCGCCAGCATCCCCAAAATTGCTGAGAAAGTTGCCCTGTCTGAAGCGGGCCTTAGATAAACAAGAAAATAAACGGTGAATTGGACCTTCCTCTATACTATTCCTTTGGAAATGAAACCCAACCACCGGGAAACATCTTTTGGGCAAAAAAACTCGACTGTCAAAGGAAGGTAGCGCTAAAGACGAGGACAAGCGCTGTCTTGTACTTGTCCTCGTCTTTAGCGCTACCTTTATTTGTGCAATGCATAACCAACTAGCCCGTCATTTGATCTTAGACCGTCAAAGGGCTGAGTCCCCGACTAAGTGAGAACGGAACGTCCTTGGAACGTCCGGCCTCCAGCACGCACTCCGTGTCTTCCGCCATGCCTCGGCCGCAAGCGCGCGCGCACTCCAGGTGCACAAGATGCCAAAGCGTCGTCAACGGCATGAAGCTCACGCTGTAGGCTGGACAACCGTAGCTTCTCCTCACCGTTCTCACCTCATCACGACTATAAACACCATGCAGAGAGTTTTTGGAGGTGAGTGAATCGAAGCTGGTTTCCACGAATTGAAGGAGACTGCCATAAAGGGTCCGAGAGGCTACCCACATGGGCCCATTCCACTCGGGGTAAAAAAGGCCAGCGCCGTTACAACTCTAACGTCCTCGCTACAGTTGCTGACAGGGTGAGATCGGCAGGGAGAAGCTTTGGTTGTCCCACCTCCGGTGCACGCACGATCAAAAGCACGGCGCGGAAGGCACGAAGGCTGGGCATTCGAAAGACGTTCCCCACCATTCTCACTGTCAGTGACTATAGTGCAGTGGTTCTCGGATAGGGGTCTGTGAAGCCTTTGGGGTTTCTGAAGGCCTTCTCGGGGCCTTCAAGGACCCTAAAAAAGCCTTTAAGCAATAAAATACTTTTTTTAAAAAAAATTAATGTTGACTGTTTTACATGTGCATCTTGCACAATGAACGCACTCGCATAATCAACGCACCCCCCAAGTTGGTTCTCAAAATTTCGACTTCTTTTTCACTCGCATAAGGCACCCCCAACTCGGATGTCAAAATTTTTACCCCCTCCCCCCACGCACGTGAAATGACTGCACTTTTCTATCCAGGTCCAGCGAGGTCAAGAATGCGTAGGCAGCGTGGGCGAACAAAACGCCTCGCAAAACGCGTTATGAAATAAAAAAAGGTCCAACGGAAGCAAGAAAAAAAAAAAACATGGAGAGGAGCTTTTCTTTTTTTTTGCACAGCGCAGTTTGGATTTTGGGTAGCACGCCGTGCACAAGGAGATAAGAAAGAGAAGCGGAAAAGCCCTCGCCTAAGCAAAGCGCGCATCATGAAGGCATCCTGCCCTCGCCTCCTCCTTGCACTTTGGAAAGAGAAGCGAGAAGCCCTCGAAATGAACGCACTTTTCTATCCTGGCAAAGTGAGGTCGCAAATGCATGGCTGTGGGCAAACGAAACAGCTCGGTAAAGCCGGCAAAAAAAAAAAAAAACACAAAAAAACACGGAACCAAGAGAAAAAAAAAAAAAACATAAAAAGGAGCTTTTTTGTTCGCACAGCGCAGTTTGGTCCCTGGGTCGTGCGTCGTGCGCAAGGAGATAACAAAGAAAAGCGGAGAAGCCCTCGCCTAAGCAAAGCGCACATAATAGAGCCGCGCGTCGCGCAAAGAGATAAGAAGTACCGTATTTACTCGCAGAATGAACGCACTTTTTTTTCCGAAAAATCGATGCAAAGTTAGAGGGGGCGTTCATTACGCGAAGTAAAATTTTTGAGTCCGTATTTACTCGCATAATGAACGGACCTTTTATCCTGAAAAACCGAAATAACTTCTTACCTCCTTGCGCGCAACGCCCGACCCCGTAACCAAACTAAACTGTGCAAAAAAAAAAAAAAACTTGTTTTCTTTTTTGCTTACCTAGTTCCTTGTTTTTTTGTTTCATTTTTTTTGCCGCCTTTCGCAAGCTGTTTTGTTTGATAGGCGTTGCTTAGGCGAAGGGTTTCTCGGTTTCTTGTTTTGCCGCCAAGCTCGCAACGGGTAACGGTAAGAGACTTTCGTCGCAAGGTGAAAATAAAAAAAACACATTTGAGAAGCACATTATCAGCACCACACGATGCCAAAGCCAAGAGTTTGCCGCACGGGCAGTTCCACAAGGGACGCTCCCAGAGAAGCGAAGGGACCCACCTCCGGACGAGCTCCACGAGTGCGGCGAAGAGCTCCACCTCCCCGGCCACCTCGCTGACCGTGAGGTTGGTGACCCCCGACCTCCGAAGGAGGCCGCACTCCTTGGGCGGGGCACGGCCTCCCCCGGGGGCACGGCCTCTCGAGGACGACGAGCCGCCGCCGGAGATCAGGTCTTCGAGGTCGTCCACCTCCGAGGGGGACGGACCCCGCTGCACCGACCGCACTTCGCGCACCGAGAGTGCACCCACAAGGGTTGTCGCGGCCGAGTCGTCTTCTTGCGGGTCGTTGTGGACACAGTAAAAGATGCACTGCACCGGGTCATAAGCAGGATTCGGATGGAGGTCGTCGCGCGTGTGCACATGCACCTCCACGCTCAGCAACGTCAGCATCTGGCTCTGAAATGAAGGGGGGTGAAAGAAAAAAGGAGTTAAGACAATAACACCAAGGAGACAATGCCTGTGCCTTTCCCCCCAAACATCATCGTCAGCAGTTCCACGTAGCGATGCCTAGCTCCCGTCGGAGTCGCCGCCAGCACGTCTTGCGGCATCTCGCAACAAGCGCGAGGTAGCCTGCGGCGACACCAAGACGCAGACGTCTGCCGCTTCGTGGCGTAGTCTCGTCGAGCTTTAACACATTTGTCACGTGACAAACACGCTGAAGCGTGGCACATTTGTCAAGCTTAGGTCGGGGATCTACTAACATTAACATCATGAGCAGATTTTGCCTTTTAAGTGGTGCTGCTCAGAGCCACAACTGTGGTGAAGTACCTAACTTCGTCGGAGCATGAACTTCGAAACTCGGCAACTGATCTTCGTCAGGGGCCAGGATACCAGAGATCCCGGTGCCCAATAAAGACCAGGATATCATACATCCACATGGCAGCTATTCGAGCTGGTCCAGGAGGTGGATGTTTTGTGTAGCTTGGCAGAGCATTTTTGGGAAAAAGCTTCATTTTTTTGTTCGCACCAATAGCGACATTCATAGTGACTTTGCGAGGCTTTCTTGAGCTTGTCAATGGGAACGAAAATGGTTCACGATAAGCTTTGTTTCAGCAATGTTTACGAGTCGTCACTATCTCTTCTACACTCAACTATCCCAATATGATTTTGGCCAGCAACAACAGACTTATAGAAAGACACACAAGGACAGCTATAAAGTAGTTGTCCTTGTGTGTCTAAGCATAGCATCTTTGGATGCACAGGAGATGAGAATAGAAACCAATAGGCATATTTTATTTGTTACGTTTACTCAAATGACAGCACTGCACATGAGCAAGGTCAGTGCATCTATTTTTCCTTCGCGCACTCCGACAAACAATCGAGGCAATCTAGGAAGGTAGCCTGACGAAGGAAGAAGCCTAGAACATGCGTATTCCTCAAAATCCGATATGCACTAAAATGTTAATGGAAAATGCAACCTGCTGTGAAACACAAACGGGAATGAAATGGCACACGAAATCTGCCTCGTCATTTGTTAGACTCCATCTGTAGACCACTAAAAATGGCTATCCGTGAGATTCATAAAAAAGCGGATCTGGTGGGCCGTCCATAAATAATGGGGCCATTAATTAAGTATGGCCCACTCACCGTACTGGTGCCTTTTGCCTGCTGCAGGTCTCCTCCACTGTAGCCAAAATTGAAGGTCCCAGAGCGTGTGGGACCATCCAGCTGGGACGTGCTGCTGTTCAAGGCGGGGTTCCTGCCCGGCCTCTCCTCCTGGGAAAAGGGTGCAGGCATTCAAGCCATGCTGGTAGGCCAGAAGTGATCTAAAACTGTGAGTACAGTACTTTGAATACAGCAGCAGCGGCAGCATGTTGGGCTGAAGGCTAAAAAACTTTTCTCGCTATTACAGTCACAGAGCGCTTTTCTGCAAAAGATCATTCTCAAGAAACACCGTTGTCACGGACGGGTAAGTGCCTGGTGGCGCATGTTCAGGGCTTTTTGGCTGCGATTGGCCAGGATTCTGCGTCAAACGACCACGTCATCGGCTCAACTGCTATAAAAGAGGCACTCCGGACTTAGAAGCGCACAGCAGCAGTGGCAGCACGTTGGCCTGAAGCCTAAGAAAATCTTCTCGCCATTACAGGTTCGTAATTCTTCATGTTCTGATTTCCACTTTTTTGTTTGCAATTTGGGGATACTGTTGTTACTGCTGGTGCTGGCGTATGTATTCAAGATAGCTGGTTGCTGCTACTTCAAAAACTAAAATGGTCAATAACACCTGCCTCAAATGTAACAAAGTGCTGTTAGAAAATGACTCCCAAGTTATATGTCTGAGTGTCAATACTCGTATCACCTTAGCACTTGTTTTGGGATATCTGAAGCGCCTCGTGCTGCAAAGTCATGACGATGCCAGACATGTAAATATGCGAAATCCAGAAGCAGTCAAGACAATAAACAATGTAAGGGTTGAAGTGAAGCTTCGGATGGCCAAGGTAATGCACCAAATAAAGTAGATATAGCTACAATCACCACGAATGCAAAAATTTTACTACATACACCTGCAGGAGACACCTGGATGGATTGAAAAAATCGCTTCAACACATGTCAATTACTATGACAACGTGCTAAAGTGTATGGGTGAACAAGATGAAGAACTTAAAGATCTGAAGAAAAGGGTTACAGCCTTGGAACAAACAAACACGGATGTAGAAATCGAGCAACCACAGCAAGAAGTCCACGATCTCAAATGGAGGAGCAGGAAACAAAACCTGGAAATACATGGAACTCCAAACAGTGAAAACGAGAATCTGATGACTCGAGTAAATGAAGTGGCTGAGACGCTAGAATTGCCTAATCTGACGTCAGATCAATCGTTGCCATGCACAGACTTCCTTCACATGCGGATAAGATTCCTGGCATAGTCATTCGTTTTGTCAGACAAGCCACGCGAGATAACGTGGCTAGACAAACGACACAAACTGAAGGCTGCTCAGAGCAAAATATACATTCTAGAAAGCCTGACAGAGCAGGACAAAACGCCCCTGTGGGGCACGAGAGTGGGCAAGAACAAACAGGTTTAACTACGTCTGGTTCAAAAATGGGAAGGTCCTGGCAAGAGAGAAGGATGATGCTCAGGCGTACTTGATACAATGTAAGCTCTTTATAACAGACCTTGATTTTGACCAAGATTTTGGTCTGTTGTAAAAGGAGTATGTTGTATGCAAATATGAAGTTGAGTCAATGGTATGTAGAGGAAAACCAATCGAACTTCACGCATCGGTATGTTATATCCAAATGTCTGTTGTAACCAGGTCTGTTGTAATGAGCTTAAACTGTAAAAACCAAGGAAGCTCGAGTGACTTTAGTTTCGGGTTGTTCATAGTTTTCTTTGAAATTGCTGCCAAATGAGGTTGAACATGCTCTAAAACAAACATCAAGTGCGCTTTTTTCGTTGCTTCACTTAAATACTCGGTCATTGCGGAATAAGTTTGACGAATTTAGCACTTTTGGACAGTTTTCGGTTTCCTTGCAATGTTAAAATGCTCACCAAAACCTGGCCTAAATTCACCGATAAAGTGGATATGCTAGATAATTATGCTGCAAATTATGCTGCATTTAGATTAAATTGAAGCAATAAAAACGGAGGAGGTGTGTGCATTCACAACAAAGAAAAGTCTGAAATGTCATGTCATTGGCGATTTCACAAAAATAACCAACAACCATGAGATCCTAACTTTGCAATGCGCAAAATCTTTATTTTCGGTTGTTTATCGCCCGCCAGGTTGAAATATTTCTAACTTTCTTGAGTTTCTAAATGTGTTTTTCAGGTTTATTGGTAAAATAACCACTTTTTATTTCAGGGGTGACTTCAATATAGATATGAACACTTACTCTCAACATCAACTTGGCTTCATGTCACTATATCAGTCATATGGATTACTTAATGTTATTAAACAACCTACTCACATAGCCCCCTTGCACAAGGCTTCGCTGGATCCATTTTTTAACGAATGTTTCCACAACAAGGTTATTTTTGGTGTAATTGGGAGAACTATTAGTGACCATCTGCCAATTTTTATGTTTGCTGATGCAGGCTTAGATCTTAATGAAACCAGTCCTACTCAGATTCACTTTAAAAAATTGGTGTCAAGAACCTTGGTCTTTCATGAGCAAGAAATAAATTGTGAAAACTGGAGTGTGGTGCTGTCCAGCATGACAGCAGATGAGGCGATTAATTGTTTCGGAAATATGAAAAATTATAGATAAAAAAAATTGCCCGCTATCATCGATTTGTGCGGACTAGAGATAAAAACATATTAGCTACCTACATTTAATAAAACAAAGAAATCAGTTGGCAAAGACATTAAGACAAGCTAAACTTTTATATTTTATTGATCTGCCTGTTTCCAGGTAATAAAAGATTTGATGTTACGTGGAAGAAATTTAATAGCTTATTCAAAAGTGGGGCGCATGAAGAGAAAATTACTATTATTAAAACTGATGGTACTAAAGTGCATGGGGAAGCTTTAGCAGAAAAATTTAATTACTTTTTTTATTGAACCTGTTCAAGGTGTGCACTCTTCGAATGCTTCCAGGGATGTGTTTAATGTTTCAGACAGGATTTTTTTTTTTTTTTTTTTTCCCACTGACGAGGTGTTTTGTTTGTTCCAAGGTTGTAACTCTTTAATAACCAAAAAAATAATGGGAGTTTCGATGTATACAGTATTCAGATTAAACCAATTAAAGGGGCGGTGCAACGATTTTCAGACTTCGGCCTAAGATTTCTGGAAGTTGCCCCCTGACACTTCTGAAGTACAGAACAGAAAACTGATTTCGCCTGCGTGTCCTAGTTCTTGCGTAAAAAAAAAATAAAGATTGGCATTTTGGGCACCCCTCAACTCACTCCCAGTCTTCAGGGTCACACCTGGTCGCACTCCCAGTGACGTCATTCGGAGTGCCGTGTAGCTTCCCGTGTGCTATCTCGGAGGACGCTTCCCCTCCCCCTCTCTGCGTACGTTAGCGGGTGCTATGCTGCAGCTTACAGCCGAGCGAGGTCACGTAATCTTTCCGCCGTAGTTCCTTCGGCTGCCACTTGGGGCTGCAGGTGGGGGAAGAAGCTCGACTTTTGCTTTGCGATTATGCAGCGGAATCGCAACATTTTTAATAAAGGAAGTGTTTTCTCTAGCCTCTGGGATACGATAAACAACGTAAAAATGACGAGATGCAAATTGTTTTAATCATAAAATCGTTGCACCGCCCCTTTAAGCACGTATTATGGACGATTGTCCCACTCTTGACACACATTTTTCAACCTTGCAATAAGGAAAGGAACATTTCCTCAAATAATGCAAGTTGCAAAAGTGACCGTGCTACACAAGGCGGGAGATAAAAATTATTTGGATAATTATAGACCGATTTCCGTTTTACCTGTATTCCCAAAAAGATTAGAAAAAAATTATGCATCAAAGGTTACATTTTTTTTGTGAAAAGTGTTCAGTCATCACGCCCTGTCAATATGGATTTAGAAAAAGTCGCTCAACGAAACTCACTGTTAAAACAAAAGGAAATATTTTTATGCAATATCGAACAAAAACTGATAACACCTGAACTTTTCATTGATTTATCAAACGCGTTTGACTGCATAAATCATGGAACATTATTAAAAAAAACCTGTATCATTATGGTATTAGTGGAGTTGCTTTAAATTTGGAGGAAAGTTATCTACATGACCATTATCAGTGTGTAGAAATAAATAAAAACCAATCTAGTCTTGGGCCGGCAACAGCTGGAATGCCACAAGGTAGTGCATAATAACGATCTCGTAAATATTGAGGATAGTATAAGCTATATTATCTATGCAGATGATGAGAGCATCATTTCTTTCAGGAGTTGAAACAAATGAAATTATGAGCGACGCGAACAGTTTTCCGACTAGGCTCGATGCATGGGCACTTTCAAATTCGTTGCAGATAAATGTGGGTATAGCTAAGACCGTCTTATTTAGATAGCGAAATAAACATTGTTGCTATACCAGTATGTTTTCTCTCGGTATGTGTGCCATTGATATAGTCGATAACGTAAAAGTTCTAGGGGTAATCTTTAACCAGGATATGGCTTGGGACAAAATGGTTCAATGTATGTGTAAGAAACTTTCGAAGGCAGTCAATGCCCTGTACAAATACAGATACATAATAAACAATTGGGATCTGAAGCTCATTTACAACTCTCTTTTTTACTTTTTAAATTTAATTGTTGCTTTTTAGTGTGGGGTAATACAACCTCAACAAACATCAAACAAATCCATATCCTCCAGAAAAGAGTAATTCGTATTATATGTCATGCTGCCTATGATAGTCACACTAGACCGCTTTTTAATAAACCCAATACCGTACAAATCTCTAATTATTATAGTTGTAAATTCGGTCTCACACATAAAAAGTCTTTCAATTACAATGATAATCTGCTTCTCTTGAATTTCAACATTTTTTTAAGGGAACAGTTTACAACACTCGCCGTACGGATACTTGGTTAATGCCGCACTCCAGAACATGCTATGGTGATCACATGTTAAAAATACCCTTTCCCGTCTTTTAAACTGTTGTAGAGAACTGAATATAAACACATCCTATGCGAGAGCGTGAAAAATGTGCACTCTGTTTTTGTCCATGATCTTTTATTGATTTTTCATTATATTTAAGTTGTAAATTGATTGCAAATTTTGTCTATCTTGAGGTCCTTGCTGAGCTGCAAACTGTTTTTCTTTTTGTTGTTGT